AATAAATATATTTAAACAAATAAATTTATCTAAAAATCAGTTAATTCACGGAAGCATTTTTTTATCAAAGCAACAATTTGTGTTGTTTTCCATTATGTTTAACATTTAACACTAATATTTTTTATTCAAATGCTATTTTAAATAAAAAGTAAATTTTTAAAAGATTTTTTGACAGGAAATTTATTAATTTCAATTGATGGTTTACATTAAAAAAAAAAAACATTTTTATTTATTAAAACATTTTTGAACAACTAAAATGCGACAATTTATGAAAAAGTTCATTTCACTTGATTTTTTTAACTTAAAAATTTAATTTAAAAATTCAAAAATCGAAAATTCAATAGTGCTTGAAATCATTTTAACAATTTTTTTTCTAAACAAAGACATTCTTAATGGTTTTTTAGGAAATTTACTTTTTCCTTTTCTAGAATTTAGGAAAAAATTTTAACTGACAAAAAAGATAGTAAATGCGATGTTAATAAATAATGTATTAGCAAAAAAAATAGCAAAATTGCAGAAAATTATTACATTTGAAGAATTTTTCGAGTAGATTTCGAGTAAAAATAATTAACTAAATTTATTATTATGGAATTTCTCTGAAAAAAAGAAACTTACGAAGAAATGATTTTTAAAAAATCCAATATTTTATTAAAATTCTCAGGAAAATATAAGAAACAATGATTTAAGGTGCAATTAAATGAAAAATGATATTATATTCAAAGGCAATATTGATAAAAGAATTTGTAATGATAATCGTAATGTCAATTAAAAATTATTGTTTAACTAAAGTAAAATTTCATTTTTGGAAAATATTGAAATAAATAATAATTTAAATATTATTTAAAAATAAAAATATAATAATAATTTAAAAATCACAAACCAAAATATTTAAAAAAGGAAAATATTTTCCATTTTTACATTCAAAAGAATAATATTAATGCTATTTAGATCTTTGATAAGAAAATTCTCCAAAAAATCTGACGCATTTTTGAGATTTTTTCTTTTAATAATTCTAATTTATTAAAAAAATTAAAATTTAAGAATTTTTTCGCTCATTTCCTTAGCTCTATTAGTCTCTCATTTGAATAAAAAAATTAAAAATTATTGACGGATAAGCATCGTCGATCCGTGAAAATAAATGCATTCGTTAGTAACTTTTAAGGATCAATGGTCCGTAAAAATAGCTCTATTCACCTCGTTTACTTCTCATAAAGATCACCGACCCGTACGAGTTAATAGGTCAGTTCATCGATCAGTTTATAACTCAGTAATTGCAGACGATTTCATTAGCAAAATATTACTAGTAAAAATAGCGAAAAAAAAATAGCAGAAATTATTAAAGTGTCGTTCACTTTGCCATGTTTAATCAATTTTTCCGATTTTTATTTATAAATAAATTTATAAATTTTTATAAATTTTTTGCGGCAAATAATTAAATTCACATTGAATCTATACTAATGATTTGCATTATTATTGCAGATTATCGTTTTTAATTTAAATTTCCAAAAAATTTTTTTTGATTTCGCAGTTGACACAATTAAAATTTTCTTAAGCAAATATCACTCATATATTTATATTTATAATCATATTTTACATATTTATATTAAAATATAATAATTATAATTCCGATATTTATGCTAATGTGAATATTAATTAATGGTTTTAACAAATACATTAGGAAATATTATAATGAAATAATTTTTTTTTTGCGAATTTATTCAGCTGAAGCAAGAAAAAATTAAAATTAAAACTATCATATGTGTTGATTTAATGGACGAGGCATTTAAATTCATAATCTAAATGTTAAAAATTAAAGCTATAATGGAACTAATATTGGTGGCAGTAAACCCGTCTTCCAAAAATCTATTGCTGCTAGTGGAACTTCGATCACAAAGTGAATCCCTGGCAAAATTTATCTCATTTGGCATACAAAAGGAGCCAGCAAAGTCCGAAATGGTGAGCGTTCTTAAAAGAAAGGGAAAGGGTGGCGTAAATATTCAAACACTTTTCTTTCCTGCATAATTTCATAAATTCGAAATGTATATTTTGCATTTAAAAAAATCATTCCGAGAAAAGTTCGATAGGCTTTTGTGGAGTGTTAAAAAAATTTGTGATAATAAAGACTTGTGGAACTCTCCACTTCAATGAGATGAAAATATACGTGGAAAATTAGGATGTTTTAACTGCATAATCAATTACTGATAAGAAGATTGCCGCCAAACAGCAAATGGAAAATTTTGAGGTCAGCCGGCTTCCACTCTTATTGGGCCTCATTTGAGAGGCTTCTATTTCATTTATTCAACCATCAATAATATTAGAACAGTTTCGTATTTCATGGACTTTTATCCACCTTTATTTTTGCTTCGTTTATGGTGTCAGTCGCCATCTTGTATATGTTATTTGCATTCTCTTTGTTGATTCATTATTAGGCATGCCAATGAACTTCGCATCTCCTAAAATGGTGAAAGCTTTATCAGTCTCTTCTTCTTTAATTGATCCTTCATTGGTTATTGATAATAATTGTTGATAAAGCAAAGTACCCATTCAATTCCATTTTCCAGTTTTACGACAATTTAGTAGCTTTTTCGTTTTTGCCTTTTGGCGAAACACTAGTGATAAATTGATTGTTGCCATTTCGTAAATTTTGTAAAAACTTTTGGACCACATATTGTTGTAGTTTTTTTTTTTTTAAGAGCCTATATTGTTTAGCAAAAAAAAGCATTATCATAAGTCATACTGATATTTATCATATCTACTAGCAAGTTTCTAGGCCAGAAATATCTATTATCTATTATCCGGATCCGGTCTATAGATATCCGGAACTGACTTTAAATGCTATGAAGGCAATCCATAGCAATATAATATAGCAAAAAAAGCGTAATAACAATCGATTGTTCGTTGTGCCGAATATCTATTTCTGTGTGCATTTCTAGCTTCATATTTCTTATTCTTAGCCATATATTTCGTATTATTTATTATCTGAACGTTCAGCATCGGGAATGCATTTTGGAAAACGTCCTTCATTGTTATATGCAATAATCTTAATTTGTCTTTTAATTCATCTATGGATTTATTTAATTGTCATTTGTCGTTTATTGCCCATAAACTTCTTTCTGAAGGTCGAATATTTCAGACAAAATTTCTTCATTTCCATTATTCTAAGCATTATTATATGCATTTCTATCTAAAAACTTTTAATTATCTCAAAACTGAACCTAAAATTGAACACTTCGTTTAGTTATATGAATTTAAGGTGGCGGCATTAAAGTAATTTTTGTGAAAATAACTGCTCTCCATTGGTTTTCCTTTTAATAAATTCCTAAAATATTTTTTATTTCTCATAGTCGAATTTACAATAAATGCAAAAGATTTTCAGTCGTCGTTGTATTATATTACATTAAAAATTATCCTTTTTTTTTCACTTCTCGCTGAAAAACTATGAAATGATTTATAAGAAATCATTTAAATTACGAGAAAATTTAATAAAAATAGAAAAAATAGAAATATGATTTTATTTTATTATGGATTGGTAATAATATTTTTGCGTTTACTAAAATAGTTTTGTTGTGAAGAAAAAGATCGATTTGATCTTATCATGCAAGCTTGACTAATTCGATTTTATCATGCATACAACTTGATCTATTTGATTTTATCATAAAAAATTGCTTATTAATCAAATTTACTAATATAATCGTCGAAGTAGAAAAATCGAATTATTGAATATTTGACCGGCTATCGTCGCTAATCCGTATAAATTAATATAGAGACAATTGGAAAGATTTCTATTAATAGAAAATTTCCTTCTTATTTTCTATTCTTTAATATATTTTTGGACGTTCTATTCGATTCATTTATTGAAATTTTATTTTATTTTATTTTAAAAATAAGAAAATATATAAAAATATAGAAAATATCGAAAATAAAAATAATTGTGCAAATTTCCTAGTACAAATTTAAGCAATTATTCGATAAATTTTGATTATTTCACCTCTTTTTTAGGCATTTAAACGAAAATTCTTTAAATTTTATTCTATTGAATTTCCTTCTACCGATTTATTTTATTGCCTTTGTTCTTCCTATTTGCTCGAAAGGGATTTTATCGATTCAACAAATCTCGTCAATTTTGAATATTGAAATAGCAATGAATTGAAATTAAATAGTGGACATAGATATTCCTTTAATTAGCTTTTTTCTATTTTTATTTGTTAAATAATTCTTTTTTTTAGATTTTTGAACGATGAATAAGTAAATGAGTAAATGAGAATAATTTTGCAATAATTATAATAATTGGGGAGATAGGATGGTTTAGTGGGTTGTTGCTCAATTCGGAGCACCAATACTAAGGTTCTATTCCCGGCAGGAGTAAACCTGTGCAAAAATCCGGGTGATGCTGGCGACTGAACTGCATTTCTAACTGTATTTCCCAAGGGATTCTCTGGCATATTTGTCCAGTGCGACAAGCCAGCGGAGCGAGTTTAACCAGTAATGGTGAAAATTCTTTAAAAAATTATAATAAGCAGTATTAAATTTTCGAGAGGAATTTATTAAATTTTTAAGTATTTTTTAATTTTAGATAAAATTAGATGAAATTTTTTCGTTTCCTAAAAGAATATAAATTTATTTATGATTATTTAAATTTTTGTTTTCATTCTTTATAAAATAAAATAATTCTTTAAATGAAAATCTTACTGAAATTATTATTGCATTCTTTTAGCTGAAATCGTGCTTTTTAAAAATCTTCTTGTAAAATCGTAAATTTTAAAAAAATTTATCTTTATTCTCTAATCTATTCAATATATAAGTTAACTGATAATTGATAATCATTGATTGATAATATTGATAATTGATTGATAATAACCCAAAGAATATTTAAAATAGAAATAATTATGGAGATTTTTCTTTTTTTTTATCTCGAACTGTTCTCGATTTATCTCGAATAAATATAAAAAATAATTAATATATCTTTTCTTTGGTGTGAATCTTTTAAGATTTATTCAGTTTCTTTTTTTTTTTTTTACAGATTTTTACGCTCATCGAATTCGTATCCATATCCAAGGACCCATTCATTAGTTGTTGTACCATCTACTCGGCCACTTAATGATGATAATGATAACATATCTTATCTTCCATTAAAGTCACGTCCGCCATTAAATCGTGCTATACCAACAATACCTGAATCAAGATCGAACGATTCAATTATGACCGAAACATCTGAACGTCGCGATGATCATTCGATAGGAATACAAGCAAAAACAAACAATAAATTCAACAAATTGCCAACAAACAATGTTGGTATTTTTAAAGAATTAGGCCTTGAAATAATTTTTTGAATATAAGTCTAAACGCAAATTAAACTGATAAATAATTAAATTTAAAATGTAAATTTTAATTTTTTAATTAAATTTCAATTTTTCGATTTAAATTATTTTAGCATTTACCATCATCACCGGCTGAATCAAATAATTCGTTGGTTGCTTTCGATAAGCAATCACCAATTAGTTCAATGTCAATGTCGATGAATACTATTTCGTCTCTAAATCATAAAATAAAGGCAGATGTTCCAAGAAGTCCACTTTTAAGTGTTGCACATTCGGTGCGAACACAATTAACAAAGCTTGGCAATCGTTTAGGAGGTAGTATTGATAATCGACAGACAGCGATTCGTTCCAGCGCTAGTTTATCAAGGTGAACGTTTTCCTCTTGAAAAATTCTTGCCCAGCTTGATGTTTATATAAAATAAAACCATTTTTCCAGCCTATAGAATGAAATTTTCAGCGTTATATTATATTGTAAATATTTCTTGCTCGAAGCTCGAAATCTTGCTTTATCGTGAAAATAATGAACCGTTTGTTTGCTCAGTATTATAATAACAATCCATCAATAGTTATGTACAAAAGTACTCCATAAATTTCCACAAAATTACTCGTCTATCGTTTTTTTTTCGATCAAAGAAACGATTTCGAGAAAAAATAATTAATTATTCGCTCACTGTATGAGAATTATAACATATAAATGTGCGTTTTAAGTGGTATAATTTTTGGCAAAAATTTTTTCGAAGAGTTGTATTGACATTAATATAATGAAAAGTGGTATTAATGTTGTATTAGTTCGCTTTCTTTAATCTATTGTTTACTTTCATTTAGTAACAACAACGACCGATTTTCAGTTCCTTTCTCGGCATTTCTATTGCCAAATATTCCCATTTTATTTTCTATAGTCAATAAGTGAGTTTTTTCCATAGCGCGAATTGTTTCCGTTGAGAAATATCCATCAACCAAATAATTCCAACTCGTTTTCCAACAGTGCTATATTTTTGGTTTTTTTTTTTCAAGAGTTCTCACCGTTACTGGTCGAACTCGCTCCACTGGCTTGTTGCAATTAGGAAATATGCCAGGGAGTCCATCGGCGATAGAAATGCACATGAGTCGGATTTTTGCATAGGTTTACTCCTGCGGGGAATCGAACCTCAACATCGACGCCCCCAACTGAGCAACAACCCACTGAGCCATTGTATCTTTTTGGTTTAACCTAAATTTGCTATGGTTTGATCGTTTGGATGAGACTATTTCCGAGAGTCAGTTGAGAGTCAGTTGAGTCAGTTAGGAGCACAAGTGCGGTTCGATCTTGAATTTTATTGCTATTGACAAGTTTTTTTAGGCTAATGGACAAAAATCATACATATGATAAATAATTTTGGTCTAAACAATATAATATTTTATATAATGTTTTATTTATTTTTATATATTTATATTTTATATATTTTATATTTTATTTTATATTTTATATTTTATATAATATATTATAATACAATATAATATTTTATCATTTTTCTCTTCTCCATCCCACCTTTAAAAGTAAGGTATTTTATGTTATTGCGCCAAATCTGTTTCATAGGCTGATAATTTTACTGATTCTTTTCGATTTCGATTTTTCGATTTATTTATTCAAGTTTTTCGCTAAAAATTTTCTTCTTTTTAGATCTTTTTAGATCTTTGGAAAGAGATGAAAATGAATTTTTTAAAATATTATGCCATAAACAAAAATATTAACGAAAATAATAAAAAAAGTGCATCTCTACCAGTGATTTTAACGATTGAATTATTTATAATATATATTATTTTATAGCATGAAGAAAACATCTAATGAGAAAAAGAAATTTTTTGGACCAAATGCCAACCCCGAAAAAAGGTTTTTTAAAAAATCGGCCAGTATGGAAACCCACCCCATTCCATATTCTCCAAGTGGCGAATGGCAAAAATCGTCCATCCCGATTCAAACATGTAAATATGGATCTCGGTACCAATTTTCGAAAACATCTCGTCCTGATGACATTTCAACGACGACCTCGCAATCCGATGGTTTGCAATCTCATAATGATGGAGCTATTCAGCTACTGGCTCCAAATACAACTATGCCAACAAATTTGGTGGAAAATTTTCCGCCAAATGAATTAGCAGAAAATAGCAATATCGCTGAAAACAAGAATGATGATCACCAAAGCCTACCATCGAAAAAAGATTCAAATGAATCAGTCGAAATGAAAAATGATAAATCTTATATATCAAAAAGTGCAATCAATGGCGATCAGCAGCTAAAGCCTCAGCCAGCAACACAGAAACGAACTGCATCATGCAATTCCGAAAATACTACCTCAAAGTCTCGTGAACATAAAGTTGCAACCAATGCTGATGATGGTGGAGTTGGTGCGATTTTAAGGGCTTCTCGAATGACGCCAACTGTTGTCTCAAAATTATATTCGCGTACAATTCAGAAAACAAGCAATAAAATTGCGAAAGGAGAGAAAAATTCAAAGTTGAACAAGCACAATATCAAGAAGACTGGTAAGTTCAAAATATGCACTTCACTGAAAATAAATACTTTTCAACATTTTTTTCTTTCAGGAATCCAAATTTATTGTTTGTTGCTTTATATAAAAAATAGCAAAAACCAATTATTTAGACCATTTATTTGCTAAATAATTCGTGACTGTATAGCAAAATATAAAACTTTTCTTTCTTAAAAATTTTTTATTTGGCTGGCTCCATTGATTTCTATAATGAGGAAGAGCCGTACGGAATATGCGCGTAGGTCATAATACCTCTGCGATGACCTCGACAATTAGCAATATGGCATCGGAGACCGAGAGTGCGCCAACGAGGAACCGCTGCAACGCTTTTTTTCGTTGTTGGAGAACATGAACTTTTTGTTACTAATACTTGCTTCTGGCATCGTAGAAAAACATCTGGTCACGTGGAACTCCTCGGATAACCAACACTTCAACCAGATTGATTATATTTTAGTCGTTGTTGGAAGAGTTCCGTACTAGATAGTCGTTCTTACAGCGGCGCTGAAACGGGCAATCTTCATGGATCTGACCATGTTATGGCTCGAGCTAAGATCTTCATAAAACTGACAACTCGCAGAAAACAGCATACCCCCAAGATCTTTCATTTATTTCAAACTAAAAAATTCGGGCACAGTGAACGTATTACGTATTTCAAAACAAATTATTGATGCATCTCAATGATACAAATATCAATGACTTTTCTGGAACGCAAATGAATACTGATCTAAATTAAACGAATGTCTCCGAAATTCAGCCACTTCCAATTTGCAACGAGGGTAATGGAACGACGGTGTTCCAGAGAAGATCATTCGAGTCATAAAGGCATTTCGCCTCAGGTTTATATAGGGAACTGCCAGACTCCTTTGAAATAAAAACTGATATCTGTCAGAGCTGCATCTTTTGCCCTACAGTATTCAACTATGCGATAGACTGGATAATGGACACCGCTTGTCAGCACTCAAGAGGTGTCCAAATCAGTCCGGAGCATCGTATTATAGATCTTGAATACACTGATGATGTAGTCCTTTTTGCTGAAATTATATGACGAAATGCAAACAATGCTAAATAACTGCAGTGAAAATCGGACTTAGGGTCAATATAAATAAAATGAAAGGCTTTTCGTCATATGTGCAAGAAGCTGATAAAATGTCTCTTTTTATAAATTCATTGCCATTTGAGGAAATGCCCGATTTTAAATACTTTGGGTCCATTCTAATACGAAATGATTATGAAATGAAAAGACGATATTACCACCTGGATCACGACAGCTAGAAATGTGTTCTTTCGGTTAACGAAACCTTTATGAAGCCGTGAAATCACCATAAAAACGAAAGCCCTCATCTATATAGCCGTGGTTCGATATTGCTATATGGCTCTGAGACATGGAATAAAAGTGGGAAATATTAAAAAGTTATCTCCCTTTGACCACTTTTGACCACTTTTATCTAAGATATATTTTACATTCATCGAACGTCACATTATAAAATATCACATAATCGCATCCAGTTTCTTTCATATACCAACTGCATTAATAATGTTATCACACAGGTCTCGCATCGAGCGTCGCCTTCGCTGGTTAGGGTATGTTCTCCGTCGTCCACCACAGGAGTTGAAGCATATTTCGTTACTTGCTAAACCATATAATGGGTGGCGTCAAAAGCGAGATGGGCCAATCAAAACCTGTAATGATCCGATAAGAAAAGATTTTGAACGTATAGGTGGACTAGCAATATATGGAGTTAGACGATGGAATGGCTTCCATTACTGTTGACGATGGAATCAGACCGCGCTGCTTGGAAGCGTCTTTCCTTTGTAGCCATTGGAGCCAGCCTAACCAGTAATGGTGAGAGCTGTTAGAAGAATAGTGGCATGATTATTCCTGTCAAGCAAAGCGTTCCTTGTCTTATTCTATTTGATAGATTGTTCATTAAATTATTAAATTATTATAAGATTCTGACAAATTTTTAATTATTTGGATTGGATTGTTAAAATTCATTTTTTTATCACCAAATTAACTGTTACTGAAAATTTAGAAATCGTTCAAAACTCGTAATTTACTTTCTTCGAGTGAACTATTCACATACTTTAGGCGAATGTAATAATCCAATCAGACCAGTGCAAATCGCTCGCATATCCATCGGTTCAGAACGAAATGCCAATAACAAAAATGAAACGGTAGATGATCAAACAATAAAAAACGCCCAACGGTCATTTATTCCACTAAAAACAACAAAAAAGACTGACATACGCAAATATAATGTTCATAGTCAGGTATGTGACGCTAGCTGACCCTTGGAGCATAGGGCACAATAAAATTGGTTCAGATTAAGGACCAGAATTTTTAAAAAATAAATAAAAATATTAAAAATCAATTTTTTATTGAATATTGGCCATCACATTCATTATACGATTTATATTCAATAATTATATTATTCATTATTCAAGTTTTACCTTTCTTTATATTTTCATAAAAACAAAATATTATATAAAAAATGTAATTTCTTCGTATCAGACGAGAAAATTAATATCTAAGACAAAAAATCGCTGAAAAAAAAGATAAAATTTTTTTTTCTAATTTTTTTCCAAAATAAAAAAAAATTATTCGCAGGCACCACTGGCAGAATGCGAATCTTCACGAGTAGAAAATTCACCTGCTGTTGAAATACCTCCATTGCACTTTGGCAAACTTTCATCTAGTCCAGGCCGTCGTCGCTTGTTAATCCGACGAGAAGATACTCCTGAAACAATTCTTGAAGAGCCTCATTCTTTCGATGTTCCTATAATATATGAAGTGAATGATAATATTGCAGTATTTCCTCATGATATGAATGATAATAATATTT